AAGCTTCAAAGTGCCTCTGTCCACCAGCCATCATACTTTAATTTAACTCTTGGGGAGCAGGGTTGGCGTAGTGGTGAGAGCGCTCGCCTTCCACCAATGTGTCCCGGGTTCGATTCCCGGACCCGGCGTCATAAGTGGATTGAGTTTGTTGGTTCTCTACTCTGCTCCGAGAGGTTTTTCTCCGGGTACTCTGGTTTTCCCCTCTCCTCAAAAACCATCATCATTTGAATTTATTTAATTTAGAGTTTATTTAGATATACACACGACCCCACAAGCTGTTCAGCTTTAAACATTATCGTGTCTAAATAAAGGTGTTATTATTATTATTATAATTAATTATGTCTTATCATTGGTGGAACGCGTTTAGCTTTCGAAGCAAATGTGTGCAAATCCCATGAGAATGCTTTAGTTTTTATATGATTGTTTCTTTCTTAATGACGTTTCTAGCATCAGCTCTTCGTCAGAAAGAGTAACGAAGAGCTAACCTTCGCAACGTCAGCTTTAGAAACTTCTCTACGGTGGCCAATAGATGTTATTCACCAGGCGGGAGGTCTGTATTGGGAAAAACTGTGTCCGAGGTCTTGGATACCGCCCGAGACTGTACGCCGAAGGCGGTCAGATTCAAGACAGAGGGCACAGTTTTTTGCAATACGGACCGACCTGGGCTGGTAAATGATATTTTTATTTTTTCCCTAAAACCTAAAAAGCTTTCTTCTTTTTCACGGGCAATGTTTAACGTGAAGGTGCAGCCCTCGATTTTCCCCATGCAAGCGCCTGCGAAAACTCCTGACTTATTAACATCTTTGGGAAGATTCGCCGGCAAAGTGGTGTTCTCGTGGCCGCCTACTGTTGATGTCTGTGTGCTATATGGCCGGAGCGGCTTAAAATTAAGGACATTTTTCGCTGATTGTCGGCGGACGCTGCTTTGCGAGAGTCGAGGCTCTTCAAATTTCTATGTCCGCTTAATTGAGCGACGTAATCTCCGGGAACCTCGGCATCCATCAGGCGAGATATGCAAGTTTTTCGAACGGAGTGGCTGGTTAAATTTCCCTGCAGGCTTGCTGATTGCGCAACTGTTTTCATAAGCTTAACAATCTCGTTCTTGCTGAGTGGTGCCCTCATGTACCAAATGTTGCTGTCAGGTCGTCGCCGATAATTTATGGCCAAGTAAAACGGGCTGTCAGCGCTATTCATTTCTTCGGAACGATGACTCTTGAATTCCTTGTGATAGAAAACTGGACAACGTTCGTTGTTTTTTTGCCTACTCGTGTTTCACCATTGCCGCGGTTGGTCTTTGATCCTCTTTCTGATTTAAAAATTCCTTGCCCGTTTCGTTTTCTGTTTGAAGAACAATGTCTTCCCATTCGGGCACGGAATCCAAAGTGTGGTGCCAATAACCACCGAGCTGTGCGCTCGAGGGTTCAGGGTTTTCAGCGCTTAACTCACCGGAGCCAAACAAGAAATCTTCTTCGGCGTTGGATAGTTCTTTTGCAGCATGAGGGTGATTTCCTTTCGCTTCTTCTAACACCAGCCGTTTCTTTTTAAAAAGAAGAACTTCCCTGGACTTAAGCAATTCTCGGTCTTTGCAGCGTGCGTATTTTGAGTTAAAAGCGGAAAGCCGTTTGCAGACGGGAGCGACAGGGCCAGGCATTGTAGTGGATCAGTAATTTTCTCCCGATTCTCTTTGTTTGCTTAATTAAGTCTTTAAACTTTCTTTTACAATCTGTGCGAAAAATTGTTTAAGTATTGGTTCAATCACAGACTCGGAAAGATATGCCAATCGGAGGTTTCTTGTGAATTTGGTAAGCGAACTGAATCGTAAAAATAAAGAGCCTCGCTCAAAGAGAGCAGTGGTCCCTGATTTCATAGAGCCGGTTATTTACACGAGGTCTAGCCCAAACTGCGGGGTTTTTACGCAAGCAGTGGGCCTCGGGGAATCCCCATTAGAGGGTTCAATATCCTTCCACTATTAGCTTTCGGTACTCTTGACACTGTTAGAAAAAAATGTTCTGATAAAAGGCCGGGCTAATTTGAAGATGACTTAGAACGCGGCATTGTTAAACAACCGCTAAACTTTGTTTAAATAACCGGCCCATAATGTTCTCGGATACTTTTCTCTGATCAATCTGTTCTCCATGTTTACTTTCAAGATTGCATGGAGTCGAGGCTTTCTGTTCTAGTGGGTTTGAAAACAAAAAGCACCATATTGATTGGATTTAGCGCCCGGGGCGCTAATTTACCTATGGTACCTCAGGAGAAGGTGCCCATTGAAAACAGAGACAGTACGCTTAGTTTTTTTCTTTGAGAAAGAGCAGAATTTGCGTAACAAAGCTTTGATGTTTATTTAAAAAGGAAGAAGAACAGAAACTGTAAAAGAAACGAATATTCTGCAGGCCCTTATTAGAGAGTGCTGCTCCAACTTCAAAACTTCACTTTATATCAATCAATATATCGTCCACTATCCTAAACATAAAGAGACTGACTTATGAGGATGAGCCTCGAAATACGTTTCAATCCCTAAATCTCGATTTAAATAATTGCGATTTGAAAAACAGCGGAACTGTTCTGCTAAGGAAAAAGCGCTCTCACAGAAAAAAGTAGAAATATAAAGACATCTCCAAAGACGCATAATGATTTGTTTATTAGTTTGTCAATTCTCTATTCCAACTCCTAAGTGTTAGAGAAATTCTTGAATCGGGTGCTCTTTCTCTAGGACAGCATTTTGACAAACTCTGAAATTAATGATTGAAGAACAATAAACTTTAATTATCGCCAGAAAAGAATTCATTTATAATGTTTTACATCAGACTGAATTTTAAAAGGAAAACAGAGGTTTAACTGATTAAATTCAATATTTTACCCTGCACGCGAATGTAATGAGTTTACCGAAGAAGAAAATTGTCGAACTTTGTTGGGAAAAGATGAAGGTTGCAGTACTTGCAACGAGGCAATCATGAAGAAGTATATGACGTAAATGTGCAAGTTACCCCTTTTACCTCTAAGACCGCATTAGTAGTAGCCAGCATGTAGGCGCTAGTTTGTATTTTAAAGCTCGAGATTCAGCGCGGCGAAGATTCGGTCGCCATACTGAACGGATGGAAGATCTGGGACGAGTGACAAAACGAGGGGGAGCGGGGAAGGAGAGAATTTCTTCTCTTCCCCACTCCCCCACGCTTTTTCACTTGTTCCAAATCTCGTCCAATATGGCGACCGAATTTTTGCCGCGCAGCCTCGCGCTTAAAAACAAAAACTACCGCCTGCAAGCAGGCTATAGTAGTAATTCTCTTTACTGTCGGCCATGCCATACAACTCTTACGATGTTAGTTTAAAGAATTTGGAATTAGATTAACTTATACCTATAGTCCCCTCATGCATTACTATTTTCCTTAATTTTGTCACCTGTCTGCTTAATATTGTATCCATATTGTAAGGAGAAATTCTATCTTGATCACTCATGGGAGTTAAAGGGAAAGCATTCGCAGCTGGTTACTCACACAGGAAACGCATTGAAAAACAATTTGTGCATACTTTTGATTTGGTTGTAAACTTATGTAAAGAATGAAACGCACCTTCAAAATTGATTTTCCCATTTTTCTTGGTATCTGCACGATTAACCAGTGCATCAATCTCTCCCCTCGTCAGCCGCACTGGGACTCTGTTCAGTAAGCACCTTAACTCTCCCGACTCAATGATCCCCTCACCAGCCACATCCCAGATACTGAACAATTCCAGGAGCTCGGACTGGGTTTCCTGTGCAATTTTCTTCTGCATTAGGACACAGAATTCCTCAAAATCCACTGCACCACTTCCTGTAGTGAAAGAGGGCAAGAAAAGCCGATGATTTTTTCCTTTTTATTAGTCGGTTTTGCCTTTTTTTTTTTGACAAAAAATTCAAAACCTTGTTGTGCTGAGAAGTTTACGGCGACACTATATGCATATTACATGCTTGTTCATTCGGTGATGGTGTGATTTTATCAGTGAAGTTGAGGCAGAGTGACGATGAAGTAGTCAGAATTTTTCCTCTTGCAGGCGTAAATTAAAACCGAGAGGGATGAGGCCGGCTCCACTGATCTTATTCTATGCTCATCGCACCACTAAGTCTAAAGAAAGTACCCACCATCTGCATCCACCTCTCTGATCATTTCATTTAGTTGTTCTTGGTCTGAGCTCAACCCCAATCTTTCCATGACTGTTTGGAGCTCGCTCGTGGTTATGGTGCCATCTCCATCGTGATCAAACAAGGAAAACGCCTCGCGAAATTCTGAAAAAAAAAAACAAAAAATCGAAACAAAGTAATTCTAAATTCGATGGGTGTCAAAAACAAAAGCAATCAAATCGATCAATCAGCATAAATAATAAAAGGCGATAGCTATCCCGTATACAGTCTCGTAAGTAGATAGAATTGATGAAAACTCGTTCACAGCTGGACTGATGTAGAAGTAAATGCTGGGTTACTCAGAAATTCTCAACTATTCAAGGGGTATATACAGTTATTTTACCTGAAATCACTTCTGAGGAAAGTTCACCCTGAAAAAAAAGTGATCACATGTATATATATCACATGTGATATATATATATATATAAATATATATCACATGTGATATACATATATATAT